AAGTTTGCACGACACACAAACCATATGCGGAGCCCACTTCTTATCCTGATCTCCCAGTTTCATTCAGAAATTCGCGTGGTAGGCAGACTTCAGTAGTGAACAAATGGGTCTGCACTGCGGTTTTGTAGTAAACTGTCCACAGACGTAACCAAAATGACTTCGGTCATTGACACAGCAGCGTCTTTCAGCCATGATCAAGATATCAAATAAGGGAACACAGCTCTCAATCGATTTTCAGTATCAAGCGAATATCATGGCCAAGAGGTTTACTTTTCCACGATTACAGGGAGCCAATGGACCAATCACAGGTGTGCATTCCATGCACGGAATGCGCTACTTAGCTGAAATGAAAAATTGCAATGGAAAAGCCAGACCTGATGGAAACGTTGGGTTTGCATATTCTTAATCAGCTCACTTGGTGCTACTAGAAACATCCGATCTCATTTATACATGACGTTGCACATAGTAGTGTTGCGTACTTAATAGAACTCGATTAACTTCTAAAACGGATAATGAGCACACTGTCACAGTGCTGATGTGAATTTGTACGAAAATGTAAATGTCATTGGATTGGACTAACTTACGAGCACTTTCTCATGTACTTATTACTCCTGTACTCAGAACCGGGCTTTGTTGTAAAAACAATGTCATCCTGGGTGTAAGTAGTACGACAACGAATGAATGAACCATCAACACTTTGATAATGTACATTAAAATGTCCCACTTGTGTCAAAGATAGAGATGACCCACTTAGGATCCTTGTTGTAAAGACTCGAGCTTGTAGTCTCCATTTCCCAGACTTGAGTTATAGATCTACCATCTTTTTCTGACGAGTACACACGAATACCGTGCCATTCATGTAACATGGTCTTGACAGCGAGCAATACTTAAGAATTTGCTACCTAAGAAAACCCTCTCAGCCAGATGAAAAAAGTGTCTAGTAAATATACAAAATCATAGAATTGCGATTCCTGTGGCTACAATATTAAACCAGTTATCAGTAATCTTCTCTCCGGTAACCGTTTCCATTTCATGATCATCGATTCTGGGCAAGTTTCACGATACGAAGCCATTGGCTTGCCTTGGGGCCCCTGCTCAGTTGAGGTTACGTAACGCATGTAATGTATGGGACCAAAAATAACACATATAAAATTATTAGTGCAGACCGCAGTCATTACTAAACAAGAATCATTGTGATGAAACAATGATGCAATATTTGGACATCGACCTACAGCTAGCCATCGGGACTTTTCCAACGAGCATAGCCACTATATCACCCTATGCTGAAAATTTCAATAAGGGCTAACTGGTTGAGTTGAATCATGCACGATTTAGAGGTAACAGTGACATGTAAGCCTGTTCATTATCGACTTGGAAACCCTGTAGTTGTGTGGATCGACAATTTCCTTCCTCAGCTGGCGCTGCAGAGAAGGGTTCCGAATGCTCTGTCCGATCTGACAGAGATTTCAGAGCTATCTTATACATTTGCTGTTGGGGGCGCGCGGAACGGACAAACTTCTAACAACGTGCAAGATCGCAGCCTATTAAAACGCATTCTGGTCAGCACCTACGAATAACCACAGACGAGACTATAATGCTACTACATGTTAACAGATTCATGTACGCCATTGCCCGGCGAGGTTTTATAGTTGAGGGTAGTGGAGGGATTTAGGGTGTTTTTGAGGTTCATCACAGCCAGGCCCAACCAGACAGCAACCACACGCCCCGGAAAGCGCTAGGCGGTCGTTTCGTCCTATTGGGACTCGTCAATAGCGTGCATTCACTAAATCCTGCCGGAGATAGTTTCTTGCAGGTGGCACATCGACCATGGAGTAGGGGTTCAGGATCGGCTGTTCAAAACAGCCCATGAATGTGATGAAAACTTGGAACCGGCATATCGGGACTTTTGAAATGCAATCCTGCGGTTTGATCCTTTCGCCCTCCAATAGGTGGTGAAGGCATAACTGATACCCGATGTAGCTTAGTAACTTGACAGAAACGCTATCCAGCAGACTCCACAGGGAAGGCAAACTAGGAGTACCATGGACTTACTCTGGCGCCCATACCGCCTACGAAGTGCACAATGGAAACTATAAGTGCCAGGAAGTGAACTCATATTGAGCAACCACACTTCGAAGAGGCCTAATCACGCCCGCTGTCAGCACTTGAGACGTGGGCCCAACACCCACCTGAGGGGAAAACGACTGATGTTGGCAGTGCGTCACAGCTTGTCGTAGTGTCATCAAAAATGTTTTATCGTATTTGTCAGCTGTGGAACGCTGCTACGGTCTACCTTATTTCCACCTCCAAAATACTTCAGGAAGTGGTGTTAAGCTACTGGTCGCCCCCACCACTCTGCTCTATTGTTTCGTCACCGTTGGAACTATTCAGTTAGTGGTGGCCAGAGTTGAGGATGAAACCCAGCACATAGCGGTGGACGTTTGACGCCTTGATCACCACACCAGTGAGCTCTGGCAAGAACCCTTAACACGATCGTTAGAAATTCAGTGTCGGGTTTTGCTTTAATAGCCATGTGTCTGGACTGCGATACACGACCTCGGTTTGAGACACAGTTTACGTTGAAGTACACCATTGTACTCACTGGGATCAGATCCGAAGTAAAATTGCGAATCAAATTGAGATTGCGTGCCTCAGTCCAGACAGAAGGCGGACTGCTCAAAAGAATGAAATCCTAACCGCTGTGCCAACAGTTGCCCGTGGAGCCCAATGACCTGGTGATCAGAAGTCAGCCGTCAACCACCATGTGCTGGGTTCCCAACTCCATTCCGAGTATTTACACCTGCTGAATCCAAACAAAGGTGAAAAAGGCAGCGGTGTGTAACAGAGTTGCAAAAGTGCAACATAGCAACTGTCCACTCCGAGTGCGAACCCAGTAGTCGAGATGGTCGAGATTTAGTACGATTAGAACCGTGGTTCCAGCCGAGACTGCGTGTCGCAATCCAGTCACACAATGAGTACTACAAACTCTAACAATAAAGTTGACGATGCGTTAAGTCGCGTTCACAGTGTTATGATCGGAGTTCAACTGAGATAACATAGAGTAAATAACCACTGGATTCACCAAACTCTAAAGGCTGTATGCATCCTGTGGAGACTCGCATGACGATCATAGCTGCAACATCTAATGTCAATGATCTAAACGGACGTACGAATGAATCAGACAACACAACAGTGATGCACATAGTCCCCGATTGCACGTACTCTTCAAGAACAGCTGTTAGGTACTAAATTTGAACCCAAACAGGTGCAACTTAATACTAGCATACATTTTGTATCTAGGAGCTGGGAACAGATAGAAACGGTATTTAGGAATCCATGCGCTGATCCAAGCTGTAGCACTTAACCAGCGATAACGACGCCGATTGACCGGCATGTTCGGAAATTATTCAAGCTTCCAACACCACGAGTTGCAGAATTGTTTACAGTGGGAATGCTTTATTTCACCTTGCTGTGATGGTGAGAAACGCAGTCATCAAAATAATACCATAAAACCAGATGGGGAGTTGTCAAATAGCGGTGGTATCGACAGAATGACCAGATTTTCCTGTGTCGATTCAGGCTTCTGCAACAGTATTGTTCCACTAGTCTGTACTGAGTGGACCAAGAAAGGTTAGTTTTTCCTTAGATTTATAATAAGCAGCAGTTTTATGACAGCAATTGACATCCGGAATGCGAATATTCACTATAATACTGTATGTAAAACCGAGATCCATATAACATTTTTTCAACGAAAGGTTTTTAAATTTCCATAAATAAGGGACATGATACTGCTTTTGGCCGTGAACACATCATCTTTGTTAATTATTATACGTAGCCGCATGGGCACTTCTCTTTCACATTAACAGCCTTTCAGTTTGCAAAATTTTCGTTTTTATCATTTTTCACCAATCACAACAGAGCTCTTATTTGTCCCCAAAAACTAACGTGTTGTCTTACTTAGACTTATATAGAACCATTTCAAGGTTAGAAATGTCATAAAATAATATATCATCATTGTTTGATCGAATATAAGGGACCTTTAAGTAAACAAACATCCAATGTGTTTTTATCTGAATTTTCATGCTGGAGACTGCTGGAACGTTACATTCTGCAACCGAGAATAAAAGTGGACGTTTACGAGCACGATTCTAGTCTGTATTTGAGTGCATCATTTCAACTTCATCGCCCGGACACCAGATAAGGTTCCGCACCGTCTGAACTGAATAGACAGGAAGATGGTCAACTAGACTCGGAAGGATTATTAAGCACTTAGCTCATGTGCACAGTGTATCTCCATTAAATGTTTCCTTGGATTACGGAAGGGATAATTAGTAAATACAAACCGACAGGATATAACATTCTAAATCCTCTAGCGCAACAAAATGGGGACATGGTTTGCTTGGGGTACCACGTTCTGCTATATTACAAGATGATCGTATTCCATGTGTTGAGCGCCGGAGATAGAATCCCGAAAAGGCAAGGGCTCCAGAGCAACTGGGTGGATAAATGCACTAAATTTGCGACCGAATAGTTGTGATGAGAAGAGGTGGAAAGCCGGTACAGTTCGTTCATTTGAATTCAGTTAGCGCTTACAGCGTCCACTCAGGAGTACCCATCGTTATGAAAACTAACAGATCGGTAAAATCAGATTGGAATTTATGTAGATGAATGCTTGCGACTTATTAACTTCGTTGGGTGCGAATGATGCGAACAAGGAACAGTTATTACAGAAAGAGCTGATAGAATCTCGATTCAATGCAAAGTAAGAGGAGAATCTGCTGAGCCTATGTAGTTGAGTCCTTTTATCGCTTCACATATCTACAAAAGATGGGAGTGTAAACGATAAAAATGTCAAAAACTGTTGCCGTAGTTCGGATGGTGATCGGCACACAATCGTATGGTTTGACTTCATTGGGTATTAAGCTATCTGTAGACGAATATTACAATATCTGCTACATAACCGTAATTGCTATCCAAAACTTCTTACAAGATGTGCTTACCTGGATAAAAATAAGCAATGCACCAACGATCAGTAATTTTGCCCATACCGGAAACTCAGAGAAATGTTCTGGTTGTCCGAACAAAGCTGACAGGCTGATAGTCATTAGTAGGCTTCCGTATAGGTGCCAGGCTTTCCGGTTACTGAGACTCATGTAGCGCTTACAACTCCCAGCTGAGCACTTTCGTTTACGAGAAAGCGACTCGGTTGTTATCGGCTTGAGGTGAAGCGATTTTTCCGTTTTCTGAACAGCGTGATCGGAAAGGAATCCGACTAAAGGCGTGCTGACAGCATTCATCACTTGACCACACAACCACAAGGTACCAACTTGCACGCTCTGTATGCCCAGACAATTTTCAAAATACAGAATCGCAAAAATATTGAGCACTGAACCAGCTACATCCTTCTGCATCTGACCAGCTCCGTAGGCCACTCTATTAATCCACCTCATAATCCCGTTCTGGTCGGCTGGAACTGAACTGCTAATGCCCTTCCAAGTCCACCCACTGTAAGAGACGCCGACCGCATAAATTCGGAACCACGTCAGCAGCGGGCTATCAGTTCAAGGCACTTTCGGCCGCCCACGTTTTATTTCACCTGACGCGGTCAGGGAGCAGTCCAACCAAACGCTTACGTTCGGTAGGCCACGTGATCCACCGAATTCACAGCGTTTGGATTGGCGGATTATGGCCGGTGCGGTAGTAAGCATACCTGTTAAATTCAACGGTCGAAAAAAATGGAATCTGGTGAAAACATTAAATCACTTCACACTTGTGGTTCTTATCACTTCGTTGTGAAAATGTGAAGTTACCCTGCAATGAGTTCTAAGCCCTCTAGGACTTAAACTGCTGTGTCAACCTTCGATGGGTTCGAATTGGTTTCACGCAATGACACCGCCTAGGCATCTCAGTCGTCAAATATGACTGCGTGCCAAACAAAATGTTGCATTCTTCGCGATAGCTGTCTGCGATACGGGTTCAATCACTGACTGCATCGGCATAATGCATGCAACTTCAGACAATTTATTAGAAGTAACCAGCACATACTATGAGGCAATCTGAAAAGCCCGGTGGAAGTGCGAGTGACTTGGATGCTTTTATTACCGATTTCCATCTGCAGCGTCCCAGCTAGTTGCAGTCTCATAGATGTACTCTCCCGACGAATTTATACTTTCATGGATCTATCCTCATGGACCAGAATTTTTCTCCTTCCGATTTCGTATATTCTGTAAACTTTGTGTATTAACGCATTTCACTGGAGGCAACTCAGATCTGCAATAAATCGCATCATAGTGCGTGCTTTTTTCAATCAACACTGAGCCTGATCTTATAGAACCTGTTTCACTCCTTTCCGGCCCCATTGTTTCATTCCTCTGATGTAAGACACTGTCTTATTCGACTCTGTTGATTCATACGGTTTCATGCAGTAAGTTATGCATCATCTGGCATTCGGGGTGAAAGGTAGACGGTGTGTTTAGCATACCTGTTCCACATTTGTTTATTTTTGTAAATCCGACTAATATCGACAGAGTGTAATAGGTTCATAGGTTTCGTTCACTTTGCTGCTGAGCCTCAGCGCTGAATAAACAACGGTATTTCAAGGGGCTTGTCAAAGCACCGTATAATGGCAGGGGTGAGTCCTATAAAACCAAATAAGATATGGATTATTTGCTGAGTACCTACCGAGATATATGCACTACTAAATAAGGTTAGTGCAGAATAAAAGCTGAATGCAAGAGTACTGGAGAACACAGGGTGTAGTTCTCGTTGACGTAAAGCGTGAGAAAAGTAACATATGGAATACCGGTGGCTTTGTAAGTATGTAATTTTTATAGAAAGTAGAAGTCACGATTAAACTTGCACAATAATCAGCCTCGACGGGGTATCGAACCCCGGACGTACGGAGTACCGGTCCGATGCTCACTCATGCGCCGCATCCTTGAGTCCATTTGACACATAAATACGGTTGAAGGGTATGATTAATTTGATCCACAATAGCGCTATTTAGGTTACGACTTGTTTCCAGCTAACTGCATCGTCCAATCGTTTTTTGAATGTATTACAAGTAGGGGAGGATACAATTGCATTTGGGAGATAGTTACAAGGTTAGCAACCCCGAAGAGAAAAATAATTCCGTCAACACTAGACGGCTGTATTGTTCACTCAATTTCAAACAGTTATCTCTGAGCTATGTGTTGTGGTTAAGTTTCAGCAAATGGCGGCATGCATGCTTGGGGTCACTCACCATTTGGTACACAAATAAAATTACCGCGTAGCAATCGGTAATGTCCGCTGAAAACTCCCAGCACCTTGAGAATGTTGCCATGCAGCAAGATGTCTATGGCAGCTCTAGGTCCCGCTTAACCAAAGTTGCCAGGTTTGGATGAGGTATCCAACTTGAGGGTGCACGTAAGTATTTTGCTGCATTGGAAAGATGGATGGATCAAATTTCCCGAATGCCATCCGCAGCAAGCCGACTTGCTGTTTGCCAGTTTTCGCAGCTACCTTAGTCAGTTTTTAATGATTGAGGTCACACTATACGCGTACCACAAGGTCGCGTTCCTGGTGGCTGGTCCGTGATCACTGGGTCTCAAGCAAACACTTGTGGCCATGTATATGGTGCGGTTGAACAAAATGAAATTTGTCTGCATTGATTGGTAGGGCATTCTGAACTTACAAATTCGAGATTGTGTTAAATTTCTCTAGCCACCTTCGTGGTAGTCCGGTCCTCTGAATTCTCATCATATCATGATAACGTCTACAAAGAATTAAAAGTCAGGACCAATTGATCTCGCTGGATCGTCTAAGCAACCTAAGAATTTACGAGGTCCAAGCACCAAACCATGTGGCACATCGCACTTCACAGTGATTGTGTCAGACAGCGACTCCCGAAGTCTCATCTCTAACTGACGTTCGTGTGGAAACATTTTTACCCACCGCGGGTTTCGGTCTCTAATGCCGAAGTTCCGAATCATTAGAAGGAAAATTCGATGGTCTGAGCAATCAAACGCTTCGGGAATTCCAGGTAGATGATATCGAGTCTTGACACACCATCCACAGCTTCAGTCCAGCTATTACGTCTAATTAATAGGTTAGTAGTGGTTGAGTGCTTTTGAAGGGAGCCATCTTGCTCAAGGGCTATTAAGTTGTGGTTTTCCGGATGCTCCATCAGCGCCTCTGTGTTGGTACAGGATGACTCCGGTTGCTCCAGGCAGTCAGAACCAGGTTCAAAAAGAGGTACTCGGCAGGCTGGTCTCTTGCGGACAGCATTCGGGAGTTTGGATTCATCCATGTTCTCTCTGATGCTCCTCCACGTCAAATACGCAATCCAAGCCTGGCATCCTTGGTTAAAGGGTGACCTTGCAATGCTCGAAACTCCCCAGTGACGAGCAACAAAATTCGTCAAGGGATTTATCCTCCTTCCGTACCAGCAACGACTGAAGACACTAGGATTGCTCGGTGGAGGCTACCGACGGTCACGTGGAGACCTTTTATTAGTCTACCAAACCATGAACGACCCCGCTCACGTATACCGCCACCTAGTGAACCTCAGCCCGAAAAGAAACATCAGCGACAATAGCCAGAAAGTGAGTCAACAACACAGTCATGTAAATTGTCGACCAAATTATTTCTCCCCGCGGGTCTGCTAACACTGAAACGCTCTTCAAAGTTCAGTTGTCTGTGCCCCCACTTTAACTATTTTCAAAAAAGCGATTGAATAACCAACTGAACGCTCCGCACGTTTCTACTTGGACGGATATGCTGGAGTTATTCCGGCTAACTAACCACTTTGGAATTATAACTCATAGGGTCGCACCTAAGTTTGTACAGATGGGCGAGCAGTCTGCTTTTACTTGTATTGAGTGATAACTATAACAAATTTTTCTTTGGTTTTGCATGTATTATCTCATTTCTACAACCATCCTTCTCAACGCAATCATGCTATCGCTTTACCCATGCGTGTTTTATTTGTCCCTTTTATGTAACATTTAAATCTCAAATTCTTCCATTACCGATCTACGGGAAATGTTAAACCTGTGCTTTTGTATCCGTTATGAACCAGTGTTCCATTGTTCCATCTGCGATGGTTGGTCCTATAAATTTGGATAGCACAGAAAGAAGCATTATTAGACGGTAATTGGTAGGGTCAGTGCGACTACCTCTCTTATGAATGGGAGTGATGACCCTTCGCTTCCACGCTGATGGAATATGGTTCTCCTCTAGACATGGCTGATGGTAAACGGTCAACGTTTTGTGTTAGATTACTAGGTACTGTCTGCAGAGCCTTCGATTGAATGTTGTCGACTCCAGGAGCATTTGCGTACGCAGGGACAAAAACTTCAACATAGCTTCTGCAATAAATATGGGGTTATGTAAACCTGACGGTGGAGTAATAGAAACCAGGTGAATATTAGGGCTCATTACGTGCAGGAATGTTTGGGATTAGTGAAACCGTAGGAGATCCGCCGCATTCATTGCTGACCGCACTCACCCATCCGCCGTGACCAGTGCTGGAGCTCCGCGCCTCACCTTATGAAGGACGTCAAGCTGCTTGTTCTCGGTTCACCCAGTATCAGTTCTTCAACTCACGGTGATGCGTCACGTTGTCCTCGTGGATCAATTGCACACAGAAATTGCGCTGGGCCAGGTGTACAATCGTTTTCGTACTTTGAGCAGTTCTTTTTAGCGCGCCACACCAACTCTCTCAGGGACATACGTGTTCTGCTCCCCAGAAATGACTTGCTTTTGTGTGACGATGGAAGAAGCACTGTTGCGATGCGTACGCTACCAGTGTGCAGAACGTCTTTGTGAACGTTTCTTAGAAAACTTCAGGGATGTATTCAGTTAAGAAGCCTCAATGTGCTTTTTCAACAAGTGTGGATGACACCTTGTGACTATGTACACTTTCTAATTTTCTTCTTGCAGACATTCGACATACCCAGTCAAACAGTAGAGTAACACGGTCAATGCTACCAAGTGACGTAATTGTAACTATGCTGTCAACCATGAGTTCTTCGTTGACGCGCAACACTTCAAGTAACCACAGTCTCTTGACAATTCGAAATCTGGTGGGACAGGTTACGTGGCTGTACAGAGGGTATATGGAAATTAGCTCCTGCAAGCAGGCTTTAAACTGTACACCATGTCTTGTACATTGATGTCTCTAGCGATAAGAATATGACTGAATAACTTGTTCAAAGCACCCTGAAAAACGGGGTACAGTTTGGAGTCCATTTCCTAAAAGGAGTTTGGCAGGCTGGAAATTACGGCTACGAGATAGAGGTTTCAGTTACTATCCCAATGGTCCTAGGTTCGAACCTTGCCATCCCCACCTGATAAAATCGAAAAAGTTGGTAACGCGTTGTGTGTGTCACGTTGTCGGGAGATCAACACCAACTTTTATGCTGAAACTAGGTTTCATAGCCGTAGAAGTAGACTCATGCTTTCCCAATGCACATTGCAGGGTAAAGACCAGTCATAAGTTGCGTCGCGCCTCATCTTCGCATTCGAGCGCAACCATAGACATAATCACAGGCTTGGTTTTTGTCCTAGCGTGTTGTACTA